GACTCCCCGCGCGCGGGGCAGCGGGGGGCAGGGCGCTCTGGGCGGCGGCCGCCCCCTCCCGCCTCCGCCGCGCCAGCCACCGCCCCCTGAGCAGGAGCAGGAGGAGGAGGAGGAGGAGGAGGAGGAGGAGGAGGAGGAGGTGTCGAGGAGGAGGAGGAGGAGGAGGAGGAGGTGTCGAGGAGGAGGAGGCGGAGGAGGAGGAGGAGGAGGAGGAGGAGGAGGATTGTTTTGTCAGCGATCCCCTGGGGGCCTGAACGATTTTTATACACCACATCGGCACAGATGGCCGATGACGGCCAGCCCTCAGCCGCTGAGCGCCGTAAACATACAGCTCGGCGACCGAGGGACAGCGAGCGGGAAGAAAAGGACGGTCCCTTCGGACCCCAGATCTAGCCCAGCACGTCATCCGACAAAATTGGTCAAGCTGCATCTCGCGCGGACGCAGCAGCAGGCCTTGCCGCCGCCGGCGCCTCGCGGGCCTGAATGCGCGCCAGGAGCGCAGCCATCCCTGCCTTCTCAATCGGCCCAGCTGACGAGCAAGGCAGACTGACGTCTTGCGGCGGAGGCCGCTGGGACGCGCAGCAGAAGAACGCTACTCCGCGCCTCGAGGACTCACTTACCGTGCTGCTTTCACGGTAATGAGGATAAACACTTGAACAAATACGCCCCAGCGTGGTGGAACCTCCAGCCAGCCTGCGCTGGATACGCTCCTTACCGAGCATGTGGCAGCGCGCGGAGGAATACGCTCCGCACGTAGTACAGAAAAAGAGGGTGAGCCGCTGCTCACCCTTACTTACAATGCAATGCGCCAGGGAGTGTCCCAGGGACCTATCAAGGACACCGCGCCACAGCCAAATGGGTCCTTTACGTCCCAATGTGGGTCGCGCCTCCAGGTCCGTGGAAAGACAATGGCAATGCAAACAGCGAGCGCAACCCTGACCGAGCTCCTGCCAGGAATGCCAACCTCCCGATTTTCAAAACTTGGCCCTCGGCGCTGTGGGCGGGCGATCAAATCTCTCGGAAGGAAAGAACACCAGCACGGTGCCAGCCACTCTCGCCGCGAAGGCGAGCATATCACACTTCCTGTCCACCTCCATTCTTTCATGCACACTGGGTTGAGGATGGAGGAGGAGAGCTTGCTTGGCCAAGGCGTCAGCTTCCAAGCTGCCTATGCCAATCCGTCTCTCTCGTGCGGGCAGGTCGTCCGAAACAGTTTGAGAGCGGTGCGCAGGAGTGTGGTGCACCGATGGGTTCGGGCACGCTTCATGTAGAAGGGCACCTCTCCGAAGGCCAGCATAACGATGTTTATGGAAGACCTGGCATTCTCTCGAAGCCACGCAGATGCGCACCACGTTCGTGCAATCGGTGTGGCGCTCGCCGCCGTTGCTCTGAAACATCGGGAGCAAGGCCATGCGCAGATGCTCCGCAGCTTGGGACGTCTGCGGAAGCACTGAAAGGACCGTGCCTTTGGCATGCGCTATGCTAGCGCCCCCTTCGCCCAGGAAGACCCAAGAGAACGCCGCCCTGGAAAGCTCTCCGACGGCGCGGCGAAAAGCCGAGCCGTTCATGACGACATCGCAACCAGAAAGATCCACGGACCCCCAATCAATGATGTCCCCTTCGGGCGAGTCAAGGATGGGCTGGGTGGCCGACGACAGAGGGGGGTAGTGGGCCTCAGGATGCTCCCATTTTAACTCGTCAGAAAAATACACGGTCCTGACTTTCAAGAGCCTCGTCCAGCCATTCGACGGGAGCCTCGTCCGTGACGCTTTTCCAAGCCGCCACGGCCTCGGGATGAAGGCACTGCCAAACGCGGTGCCGAACACTATCGGGCATCCCGCACTTCGGGCATCGCCCGTCGCACGCATATCCCGTCGCCTGTGCCCTCGAGCGAGTCCACACCCCCTTGCAGAAGACATTCAAGGCCAGTTACCTTTGCTGAGGGTTGAGTTTCCGCCCCCTGGGACCCAACAACGTTTTGAGGGGATCGGCGCAAGAACGAACACCGTCGGACCCTGGGGCGTCTTGACACAAGACTCGCTCGTGCTTGCGCTGGACAGCCAACTGCAACATATGAACCAGCATCGCTGGCGAAGTGTAACCCAGGTGCACCTCGCGACCGTAGTCGTCTTCAAACGTGAGGGGGGGGTCACCGAATGCCACCCGATCCTAGCCAGAGACAGGTGCATGCGCTGCAGCGGTCCTCGCGATGATCGCCACGTGACCTTGTCACCAAAGGGAACAGCGCGCCAAAGCTGGGCGATTTCCTTGATGTTATACCGAGAAATTGAAGGGGAAGCGAGGGCAAGCCACACCGCCGAGGCCCAATGTAAGGCCGGCGCGACAGGAGGTCTCCACATGGGGTCCCCCAAAATAACCAGTCGCGCCTGGAGCGAGCAACCGCGGTGCCGAGGGGGGTGCGAGGACAATAAGACCCGTCGAGCCTCCTGGATCTCAAAGTGGCTTATCCCCACCACCGCCGATCCGAAACTGGCCGCAGGTAAAACTCCACAAGTATAAATCTGCCCCACTCTCCCCTGTTGACGGGGGAGAGCAGAGCGATATCTCATCACCTTTGTGTCCCTTCTTCATGTGGGAGAACCGTTATGTTTTTTTTTTTCCAGAGACCCCGTTTGGCACAACGTGGCTGACCTGGCGCAAAATCCGCTCCGAGAGAGACTACGCTGTTCGTGACCTTCCCAGCCAGCTGCCCGAGGTGACGAGCAATCTTCTGGGCGAAGGCGCGGCTGCTGGCAAAGGTGGTGACCTTGTCAGGCTGAATGCCGACGCGCAGCTCGTCCCTAAACAGGGCCGGCAAACATGCAGCGGCCTGGGCCATGTTAGCCAGGATCTCTCGTTCCGAGCCCGACGTTGTAACGCTATCATCGTCCACGTACGATGACAGATCGACACTGGGATTATCTTCGACAAATTTGTCTAAATATTCAACGCTGTAAACTCTCACCATTTTGTAGTTGAAGATATCTTCCGCGGGAAGGCCAGAACGAGCGAAGCAGGGCTGGGCCCCGCACTGGGCCCCCAAACGGAGCGAACGAGGGCCCCTCCAGTAGTTGAGCGTCGTTTTAACAATCACCCCATTGATGCCGTGGCGTGTCGCCCTGTCCTTAAGGAGGGCTAAATCGAAAGACTCATAGTACTTCGTCCCGTCTCAAATGACACCCCCCGTTTCCTGCGCTTCATAGTGGGCCACCTCGGCCCGAAAGGCCTGGTGCCACGCGGCATTCTCAGCGCTGCGGCCTGGGCCGAACGCCCAGTGCCTGCGAGGGTAGCTAGTGTTGAAATCTAAAATCAGCGGCCTCCGCGAACGCTCCCAGACACGGACAGGGCCAGCACGCAGCAAAATCGGACGGAGGCCTCCCTTGGGCTTTTTTCCAACAACGGGAAGACTGTTTCGGAAACAGGCCCAGGGACTCGATCGCTTGGATTGTCGCCCCGAACGCGTCGAGAGCACCATCCGGGACCAAAGCGGGCTGTCTCGGTGCAGTCCGCCGAAAGACTGCGACGTCAAATGCGAAAAACTGCTGGGCGCACTCCTGATCTCAGCCGCCGTCGGCCTAGGAAGATGAGCCCGATCAGGGGCGCGCACCTCGGGGGGAATCTGAGACGCACGCCAAAACTCAGACAGATATTTACCTTCCGCCTTCAGAAGCTCTTGGGGCGTATTCGAAAAACACCCAGGGTGATCTTACACGACGGTCGGGACCCACTGCTGATTGAGCTTCGTGGGCCTATGCGTGGCCCGTGCACCCCCCAAGAGCGCCTTCTCCTGCCATTGATCCCAGCTGTCCTGCTGGACCTTCGCGACGGACTTGCGCGCCTCGCTCAGGTCGTCGCCCATCGGCGACCGAAACTCCTGACGCTGCTCGATCCAGCCGTCGAGGCCAGCGCCGAGCGCAAAGGCACGGGCCAGGCTGCGCGCCTGAGCAAGGGTCGCGTCGAGCCGAACGTGCTGCCCCTCGCCGGGGCACGGTCACATAAGAAGCTGCTGGATCTGGAGACTCGTGTCCTCAGAGAGTTGCTGCATCTGAGCGTGGTCCAGAAACTGGGGATCCTGGGGCGCCCTGCGAAGCCGAACCAAGGCCCCAATGGTTCCGACAAGTTCCTGGCCAGCCAGGTCCACACGCAGTGCTGCTCACGGAGGCTACAAGCCTTGGGCTTCGCAAGCATCGGAACCCAGCGAGGTCGAAGGAATTCCCCTTTGTGCCCCTTGCTTTTAACCTCGACCCCCGTGAAAGCCTCGAGCTCGAGCTCGAGCTGATTGGCAACATACTTCCAGGCGACAGTGAGAAGCCCCCGCGCCTCGCCGATGGGGCGAGCGAGTGCCGCAGCGGTAGCGTCCTCAGATATGATGCGGCTGAGGGTCCAGTCCTTGGGTCGTGGGGCCGATCCGAAAGGAAGCTTCGTCGGGGGCCTCTGATGCGACCGATACATTAGCTGATGGCATCGCACAGCATCGGGACGAAGGGTGAGTCGAACAGGCCTGTGGGGCCGATGGGTCCAGGACATGTCGGCCTCGACCTTATCACAGGCACGCGCGAAGCACGTGCTAGCTAAACCAATAATCAATCGTGGTGGGGCTCCCTGGAGAAAGACACGTCTTCTGCGCTGGCACGAAGAAGGCACCCTCAACCCTGCGAGCAAGCCCCGTCGAATCCACCAGGTGGGTGTCGAGATTCCAGTCTCTCCCCCCACAACGTACATATGTTTCCCAGTAAGCCTCTCCCCTACCTGCCGAAGGGGCGAAACGTTGAAAGCACGCAACCCTGTCCCCGACTCATGGTAGCAAGAAAGCACGTGGAGAGGCGGCCATCCAGGCAGAACAATCACGTGCATGATACGCCCCTGGGCCACGATTCCTGGAACGTCCGGCGGCCACCGCAGGCCAACGTGCGTGCGAACGAACACCCCCGCCTCCGCTCGAGGCCTGCCAGCCTCGCCAGCGGGGGAGGGGGAGCACACCAATTTCCACCCCGAACTGG